AGAGAAAAGACATATGAGGAGCCAATGTAAGAAGTATACTACCAATAAGTCAGGTTCGGGAAAACAGTAGTGGTTGGTGTTGAGGGATGCCCACCAACCCCAGCGTGAAAGTCCCAACAGCTAAGTGTAAAATGGCAAGCACACATAATGTCTATGTGACAGGAAAGCTGGATGGCCAAAGGTGCAACTTTGTCATAGATTCTGCATCTCAGCAAACCCTTGTGAGTATCAAGGTGCTAGATCACAAAGGAGTACCAGAAACTGTACAGAAGCTCTGTGGTGTGACAGGACATTATGCAAGGTTGTGGGGACCAGTGTGGGTAACTATTGAGCTTATGGGCTTAAAGAACAGAGAGAAAGTAACTTGGCTGACATTGAAGACCAATGCATATTAGGATTGGACTATTTACTACCGAGGAAGTGTGTAGTTAAATCGATAAAATGACGATTGGAAATAACAAAGGCCAAATTCAAGTAAGTGTTGCTACATCTGTTGATTTGCATGTCACAGCACTTAAGTCAACTACAATACCCCTATGTCAGGGAAGATAATTTGGGGTAGGATGAAAGAACATTCTCAAGGAAGCTCAATGCTTGTGGAAGCAGTGGAAGACCCATCCAGGCCAGCGGAAGTGAAGATTGGAACGTCACTTGTGGCACGCCATCAAGTAGTACCTATAACAGTGGCCAATTTCTCTAAATGTGAGCAGACACTTAAGGAAGGGGTATTGTTGGGTGTGTGCCATGAGGTAGAGCCAGTTAATGTTAAAGCAAGAAATACAACTACAAAGAAAGGACATACACTTCCAGAACATTTAACTGACCTCTATAAGAAGAGCATAGTCCATTTGTTATCATCACAGGCTCCTCGGGTTAGAGAACTTTTGGAGAATTATGCTGACGTCTTTTCGAAAGGAGATCATGACCTGGCCTACACAGACCTTGTGGATCACAGAATAAACAAAGACAATCACCGTCCAATAAAGGTCCCTCCGAGGAAAATAGCTCCAACAAAGCGACAAGAGATGGAGAAGGTCATGGATGGTCTAATTAAGGAAGGGATAGTCGAAAAATCAAATAGTCCCTGGTCAGCTCCCATCATGTTAGACCAGAAGAAGGATGGACCGAACGTTACTGTGTGGACTTCAGAGCTCTTAAAAGTATAAACGAAAAAGATTCATACCCACTGCCAAGAACTTATGATACTCA